ACACAATTAATTTTCTCCTTTCCCCCTTCTGATAACCAGGTGGCATATCAGTGTGGATGTCGGATCACCACCTCAAGCTGAACCTTGGCAAGACGGAGCTGCTCTTCCTCCCGGGGAAGGACTGCCCGCTCCATGATCTCGCCATCACGGTTGACAACTCCATTGTGTCCTCCTCCCAGAGTGCAAAGAACCTTGGCGTGACCCTGGACAACACCCTGTCATTCTCCGCTAACATCAAGGCGGTGACCCGATCCTGTAGGTTAATGCTCTACAACATTCAGAGAGTACGACCCTGCCTTACACAGGAAGCGGCACAGGTCCTAATCCAGGCACTTGTCATCTCCCGTCTGGATTACTGCAACTTGCTGTTGGCTGGGCTCCCTGCCTGTGCCATTAAACCCCTACAACTCATCCAGAATGCTGCAGCCCATCTGGTGTTCAACCTTCCCAAGTTCTCTCACGTCACCCCGCTCCTCCGCACACTCCACTGGCTTCCAGTTGAAGCTCGCATCTGCTACAAGACCATGGTGCTTGCCTACGGAGCTGTGAGGGGAACGGCACCTCCGTACCTTCAGGCTCTGATCAGTCCCTACACCCAAACGAGGGCATTGCGTTCATCCACCTCTGGCCTGCTGACCCCACTACCTCTGCGGAAGCACAGTTCCCGCTCAGCCCAGTCAAAACTGTTCGCTGCTCTGGCACCCCAATGGTGGAACAAGCTCCCTCACGACGCCAGAACAGCGGAGTCACTCACCACCTTCCGGAGACACTTGAAACCCCACCTCTTTAAGGAATACCTGGGATAGGATAAAGTAATTATTCTACCCCCCCCTTACCCCACCCCCAAAAAATATAAAAAATAAACATATTGTAAAGTGGTTATCCCACTGGCTATAAGGTGAATGCACCAATTTGTAAGTGGCTCTGGATAAGAGCGTCTGCTAAATGACGTAAATGTAAATGTAAATGTAAGGCGGAGCATGCCTCGTACCTGCGGCAGTACCCAGAGCTCCACGCCATGATGGCTGACTTCTTGCCGTTCCTGTTACTACATTAACCAAGCAACGTCTTCATGGTCGCCTGTGAGGACTTCTCTCCCTTCCACCGAACACCTTCAACACCTCCTCACCTTGAGGACACACTGTGGTTGCGTCTCAATAGTCTAGTAGCTTCCTCTCACAGGCACTTTACTGAGGTCAATACTTCTGTTTATCACTTGTCACTAGTATGTACAGAGGCCCTCGTGATCATCAAATATGATTGTTTTTGTATTTTATTTTGTGATTCTGTTTTTACTGTCTACTGTTTTTGTTTGTATGAGCGACACTGAAATTAATTCCAATCAACTCTGTTGCTATGGCAATGGCAAGAGTTACAGTTATATCAGTTGGTGTGAATAAATAAAATGTCATATATTTTCCATGCTTTATTTCTGTTAAGAACTTTATCATCGACTGTGATCATTTCAGTAACTGCTACTTTGCTTTGGCGCTGATGTGATAACCCCATTTGTACGAATAAAGTTATAATTCTCTGAACAATAGTATTAGTATAAAATAATATATTTTCAAATGTTTCTGGAGCATACAATATAGCTCTGTATTTATGTTATTTATTTTATACATTATCAAGTGTGTCAAAAATGTTGGACCTGACTGTATTTTTTCTTGAGGTAAAGTTGTTTGACCTGCACTTGTGTCACGCCCTGGCTCTGGGGACTCTTGTATGTTGAGCCAGGGTGTTAGTTTCTTTGTGTAGTGTCTATGTTTCGTTTTCTATGTTCTGTTCTAGGTTATGTGTTTCTATGTTGGCCGGGGTGGTTCTCAATCAGAGGCAACGTGAATCAGCTGTTGCTTGTTGTCTCTGATTGGGAACCATACTTAGGCAGCCTGTTGTGCACTTGTGTTTTGTGGGATCTTGTTCCGTGTAGGTTTGTGTATGACCGAGGACTTCACGTTTCGTTTTGTTGTTTTTGTTGTATTTGAAAAGTACCTATTAAAGTATGTACTCATATCACGCTGCGCCTTGGTCCACTTTTCATGACGTTCGTGACAGAAGATCCCACCAAAACAGGACCAAGCAGCGTGTCCAGGAGCAGACAGCCTGGACTTGGGAGGAGATCTTGGACGGGCAGGGGTCCTGGACTTGGGAGGAAATCCAGGCCGGAATGGATCGCCGTCCGTGGGAGGAGACGGTGGAGGCGTGCCATAGAGAGGAGCAGCGGCGCCAACCGGGTCAACGTCGGACACGCAAGAGGCAACCCCAAGAAATTTTTTGGGGGGGCACATGGCATGGACGACGGGGCTGCTGGAGGCAGCTACAGGGCGAGTTTGGGGATTAGGAGAGGAGGCCACCGGGTTTGGGGGGCTGGAAGGGAGGTTGGCAGAGCCTAGAGGTAGAGCAGAGCCAACTCCCCGTACTCAGGCTAGGCAGCGTGAGACTAGGCAGGTTCCGAGGTATGTGGAGCTGCGTACTGTGCCGCGAGTGGTCCGGCACAGTCCGGTACGTCCTGTGCGAGCACCACGCACGTGTCGTGCTAAGGTGGGCATGCAGCCAGGACGGAGTGTGCCGGCTCAACGCTCGTGGCCTCCAGTACCCCTCCTCGGTCCCGGATATCCTGCGCCAGTGTCACGTGCTGTAGTGCCAGTACGAGTACACAGCCCTGTACGTCCTGTGCTGATGCCTCACACAGAGTGTGTAAAAATAGGCATTCAGCCAGGACGGGTTGTGTCAGCTCTTCGCTCCAGACCTCCAGTCCGTCTCCACAGCCCGGTCCGGCCTGTTCCTGCTCCCCGCACCAAGCCTGTGGTGCACGTCGCCAGCCCGGTCCGGCCTGTTCCTGTTCCACGCACCAAGCCTGTGGTGCGCGTCGCCAGCCCGGCCCGGCCTGTTCCTGCTCCCCGCACCAAGCCTGTGGTGCGCGTCGCCAGCCCGGTCCGGCCTGTTCCTGCCCCTCGCACCAAGGCTGTGGTGCGCGTCGCCAGCCCGGCCCGGCCTGTTCCTGCCCCTCGCACCAAGCCTGTGGTGCGCGTCGCCAGCCCGGCCCGGCCTGTTCCTGCCCCTCGCACCAAGCCTGTGGTGCGCGTAGCCAGCCCGGTCCGGCCTGTTCCTGCTCCCCGCACCAAGCCTGTGGTGCGCGTAGCCAGCCCGGTCCGGCCTGTTCCTGCACCCCACACCAAGCCTGTGGTGCGCGTCGCCAGCCCGGCCCGGCCTGTTCCTGCTCCCCGCACCAAGCCAGTGGTGCGCGTCGTCAGCCCGGTCCGGCCCGTTCCTGCCCCTCGCACCAAGCCAGTGGTTGCGCGTCGTCAGCCCGCTCCGGCCCATTCCTGCTCCCCACACCAAGCCAGTGGTGCGCATCGTCAGCCCGGTCCGGCCCGTTCCTGCTCCCCGCACCAAGTCAGTGGTGCGCGTCGTCAGCCCGGTCCGTCCCATTCCTGCTCCCCGCACCAAGCCTGTGGTGTGCGTCGTCAGTCCGGCACAGCCCGTGCCTGTTTCACCGGTGCCTGGTCAGGTACCGGTCAGCTGCTCCACACCGGAGCCTAAGCAATCCGCTCCACCGATGTCCAGTCCAGCTCCAGCCAGCGGGACCAGACCAGGGGCGCTACCGGGGGGTTGTTAGAGGGTGGTGGTCACGCCCGGAGCCGGATCCGCCTCCGAGGTGGAATGCCCACCCGGCCCCTCCCCTGTTGGGTTTATGTTGGCGCGGTCGCAGTCCGCGCCTTTGGGGGGGGGGGGGGGGGTACTGTCACGCCCTGGCTCTGGGGACTCTTGTATGTTGAGCCAGGGTGTTAGTTTCTTTGTGTAGTGTCTATGTTTCGTTTTCTATGTTCTGTTCTAGGTTATGTGTTTCTATGTTGGCCGGGGTGGTTCTCAATCAGAGGCAACGTGAATCAGCTGTTGCTTGTTGTCTCTGATTGGGAACCATACTTAGGCAGCCTGTTGTGCACTTGTGTTTTGTGGGATCTTGTTCCGTGTAGGTTTGTGTATGACCGAGGACTTCACGTTTCGTTTTGTTGTATTTGAAAAGTACCTATTAAAGTATGTACTCATATCACGCTGCGCCTTGGTCCACTTTTCATGACGTTCGTGACAACTTGTTTATTTTATATTTTAAATGTTTTTATATTTTGTTGTTTATTTTACAATAAAACAGTTAATTGTTAGTAAATGCATTGTGTTTTGTAAAATGATGAATCATTGAACATCTTTGCCAGCTGTCTGATTTAATTAATTGATATGTGTTGGGAGTATACATGACAATATCCCTAGGAAATCAGGGCAGCAAAGTTATCCAAACAATAGCATTACTTTCATTTATAACTTTATTCTTACAAATGTATGGGGTGATCACATCAGAGCCAAAGCAATGTAGCAGTTACTGAAATTATCAAACTCGAGAATAAAATTCTTATCAGAAATAAAGCATTGAAAATATGCAAGACAATAAATAATACATTTTATTTTATTCACACCAACTGACATAACTGTAACTCTTGCCATTGCCATAGCAACAGAGTTGTATGAGCTGCACAGAGTTTCAGTGCAGCTCATACAAACAAAAACAGAAGACAGTAAAAACAGTATCACAAAATAAAGTACAATTCTTCCATAAAAACATTCATATTTGATGATCTCGAGGGCCTCTGTACATACTAGTGACAAGTACTACTGTGATCCTCTGTAGCTCAGCTGGTAGAGCACGGCGCTTGTAACGCCAAGGTAGTGGGTTCGATCCCCGGGACCACCCATACACAAAAATGTATGCACGCATGACTGTAAGTTGCTTTGGATAAAAGCGTCTGCTAAATGGCATATTATTATTATTATAAGTACTAAGTAGAAGAGTATTTTCCTCAGTAAAGTGCCTGTGAGAGGAAGCTACTAGACTATTGAGACGCAGCTCAAATGTGTGTCTTCAAGGTGAGGAGGTGTTGAAAGTGCCCCCTGGGAGCCCAAGGGGGAGAAGTCTTCAGGGGCAAACATAAGACGTCGCTTGGTTTTCATAGTAATAGAAACAGCAAAAAGTTGGCCATAATGGCGGGGAGCTCTGGGTTCTGCCTCAGGTGCGAGACACGCTCTGCCTTCAACTCCACCTGAAACACACACATGTCAGGTCATGTTGGAATGTTAGGGGTTAGTGGTTTAAGGGTAAGGGGCAAAGGTGAGAGTAAGGGATAATGGTAGGGTGTAGGGAAAAACAAATATGTCACCTTTCTGTCCAGGAACTTGGAGTGCATCTGCATGTCCTCCTCCCACACCAGACGCCTCTTCTCAAACACTGGCTTATCAACCCTCACCTCTGACACACAACAAACATACACACGAACATGTAAATAGGGGAACATTCCAAAATAGTGTGTGTTTTGTGTGTATCTGTGTATGTGTGTACCTGTTTGTATTTGGGGCGGGAGCAGCAGAAGCCTCATGTTGACGGGTGAGCACACCTGCATTCGGCTGGCCCTAAACAGGAACAGGAAATGACATCACACAGGGAGAACGATATGGCAGGGGCAGTGGTGTCCTGTCTGTCCCGGGTTTCTCTGGTGTGGCAGGGGTCTGAATACTTTCCGAATGCACTGTATAAGCCTTGGATATCAATCACTCAAATGTGGCCTTACTGGGAGTGACCATATAATTCTATGGGACCTACTGAGTAAAGTATTTGTCATCCTTTAATTTCAGTCAATCACACGACTGCGAGGCGTGCCTCTGTGCTTGTGGTGTGCTAGCGTACGGGGGAGGGTTAGGGAGAAGGGGTTGTGGGAGATGATTGGTTGGTAGATTAAGCCGTTTCACATTGAGATGGATTTAATTAATTGATATGTGTTGGGAGTATACATGACAATATCCCTAGGTTATCAGGGCAGCAAAGTTATCCAAACAATAGCATTACTACATAACTCTATTCTTAATGTTTTATGGGGTGATCACATCAGAGCCACAGCAAAATAGCAGTTACTGAAATTATTATACACAAGGATAAAGTTCTTAACAGAAATAAAGCATTGAAAATATACAAGACATTAAATAACAATTAGTTATTTTATTCACACCAACTGACATAACTGTGACTCTTGCGATTACCACATCAACAGAGTTGATTGGAATTAGTTTTAGTTTCAGTGCACGAGACAGTAAAAACAGTATCACAAAATAAAATACAAAACATCCATAAAAACATTCATATTTGATGATCACGAGGGCCTCTGTACATACTAGTGACAAGTGATAAACAGAAGTATTGACCTCAGTAAAGTGCCTGTGAGAGGAAGCTACTAGACTATTGAGACGCAACCACAGTGTGTCCTCAAGGTGAGGAGGTGTTGAAAGTGCCCCCCGAGGTTCGGCAGCAGCCCAAAGGGGAGAAGTCAGCCATCATGGCTGGGCTCTGGGTTCTGCCTCAGGTGCGAGACACGCTCTGCCTTCAACTCCTCCTGTAACACACATGTCAGGTCATGTTGGAATGTTAGGGGTTAGTGGTTTAAGGGTAAGGGGCAAAGGTGAGAGGAAGGGATAATGGTAGGGTGTAGGGAAAAACAAATATGTCACCTTTCTGTCCAGGAACTTGGAGTGCATTTGCATGTCCTCCCACACCAGACGCCTCTTCTCAAACACTGGCTTATCAACCCTCACCTCTGACACACAACAAACATACACACAAACATGTAAATAGGGGAACATTCCAAAATAGTGTGTGTTTGTGTATCTGTATATGTGTGTACCTGTTTGTATTTGGGGTGGAAGCAGCAGAAGCCTCATGTTGACGGGAGAGCACACCTGCATTCGGCTGGCCCTAAACAGGAGCAGGATATGACATCAAACAGGGAGAAAGAGATGGCAGGAGCAGTGGTGTCCTGTCTGTCCCGGGTTTCTCTGGTGTAGGCCGGGTTACTGTAAAAGCACTTTGTGACAACTGCTGATGTAAAATAAAATGCCATATGTAATTGTGCTTGATTGATTGATTTATTGATTTATTGATTTATTGATTGTATAAGTAGAAGTGATGTCCTCTTACCCGTCAGGTGGGAAGTAGCAGTGACAACAATGCAAAGTGTCAGGGATGTTCTCCACTGAGTCCACTGTCCTCTCCTACCCAAACACCTCCACAAACTCCACTCCCGCCGTCTGCACGCCAGCTCCCTCGGACCACAGATAGACCACACATTAACCACACAACCTGGTCAATACACGATCACAGCAAACATAACCTCGTCCAGGTTATCGTGCACAACGCATATACTATAAACCTGGGATATCAACCACTCAAAGTTGGCCTTACTGGGACTGACCATAGATATCTATGGGACCTACTGAGTAAAGTATTTGTCATCATTTAATTTCAGTCAATCACACGACTGCGAGGCGTGCCTCTGTGCTTGTGGTGTGCTAGCGTACGGGGGAGGGTTAGGGAGAAGGGGTTGTCAGCTGTAATTGGTTGGTAGATTAAGCCGTTTCATGTTCCGATGGATTTAATTAATTGATATGTGTTGGGAGTATACATGACAATATACCTAGGAAATCAGTGCAGCAAAGTTATCCAAACAATAGCATTACATTAATTTATTCTTACAATTTTATGTGGTGATCACGTCAGAGCCAAAGCAATGTAGCAGTTACTGAAATTATCAAACTCGTGGATATATTTCTTATCAGAAATAAAGCATGGAAAATATACAATATTAAATAATACATTTTATTTTATTCACACCAACTGACATAACTGTAACTCTTGCCATTGCCATAGCAACAGAGTTGATTGGAATTAGTTTCAGTGCAGCTCATACAAACAAAAGTAAAAACAGAATCACAAAATAAAATACAAAACATCCATAAAAACATTCATATTTGATGATCACGAGGGCCTCTGTACATACTAGTGACAAGTGATAAACAGAAGAGTCCAAAGTAAAATGCCTGTGAGAGGAAGCTACTAGACTATTGAGACGCAGTCACAGTGTGTCCTCAAGGTGAGGAGGTGTTGAAGATGCCCCCTGGGGTTAGCTAACTAACTAACGCTACTTGTTGGTGGCCTTTATTATAGCTAACCTGGCGAAGGCTAGCTAGCTAGCTGGAGCGATGGTCAGGTAATGTTAGTCACACAGCTTTTACTTTGAAAACTGCTAGCACATGTATCCTGTTGCAGCCCCTCCTCTCCACGCCCACCCCATCTCTGCTCATTATTCATTCTTGTGGAAGAAATTAGGAAAATTAATTCAAGCAGTGGAAATGTTTATCCGTCTTTGTTGTTTAAGTTTGGATATCAGTTGAAGGGAATGCATGATGGATATTTTGATGTGCAACCCTGTTTGCTGACCAAAGATCAGCTGTAACTGGGCAAATTACTCACTAAATAGCAAGAAATATCAACAAATGTGCACATGTCTCTACACGCGGCAGTTTCTTTTTTCTGAAGCCCCCATGGGCTCTTAATCTTGAAGCAGTAAAACTAACGCCTTAGCTAGCTAGCGAAATGCTAGTTTTGTTTTACAAGAAAACGGCTGAGATGACTCAAACAATATACAGTTGAAGTCGTAAGTTTACATAAACTTAGGTTGACGTGATTAAAACTTGTTTTTCAACCACTCCACAAATTTCTTGTTAACAAACTATAGTTTTGGCAAGTCGGTTAGGACATCTACTTTGTGCATGACACAAGTCATTTTTCCAACAATTGTTTATAGACAGATTATTTCACTTATAATTCACTGTATCACAATTCCAGTGGGTCAGAAGTTTACATACACTAAGTTGACTGTGCCTTTAAACAGCTTGGAAAATTCCAGAAAATGATGTCATGACTTTAGAAGCTACTGATAGGCTAATTGACATCATTTGAGTCAATTGGAGGTGTACCTGTGGATGTATTTCAAGGCCTACCTTCAAACTCAGTGCCTCTTTGCTTGACATCATGGGAAAATCAAAAGAAATCAGCCAAGACCTCAAAAAAAATTGTAGACATCCACAAGTCTGGTTCGTCCTTGGGAGCAATTTCCAAATGCCTGAAGGTACCACGTTCATCTGTACAAACAATAGTACGCAAGTATAAACACCATGGGACCACGCAGCCGTCATACTGCTCAGAAAGGAGACGCGTTCTGTCTCCTAGAGATTAACATACTTTGGTGCGAAAAGTGCAAATCAATCCCAGAACAACAGCAAAAGACCTTGTGAAGATGCTGGAGGAAACAGGTACAAAAGTACCTATATCCACAGTAAAACGAGTCCTATATCGACATAACCTGAAAGGCCACTCAGCAAGGAAGAAGCCACTGCTCCAAAACCGCCATAAAAAAGCCAGACTACGGTTTGCAACTGCACATGGGGACAAAGATCGTACTTTTTGGAGAAATGTCCTCTGGTCTGATGAAACAAAAATAGAACTGTTTGGCCATAATGACCATCGTTATGTTTGGAGGAAAAAGGACGTTGCTTCCAGGCCGATGCAAATGGGTCTTCCAAATGGACAATGACCCCAAGCATACTTCCAAAGTTGTGGCAAAATGGCTTAAGGACAACAAAGTCAAGGTATTGGAGTGGCCATCACAAAGCCCTGACCTCAATCCTATAGAAAATGTGTGGGCAGAACTGAAAAAGTGTGTGCGAGCAAGGAGGCCTACAAACCTGACTCAGTTACACCAGCTCTGTCAGGAGGAATGGGCCAAAATTCACCCAACTTATTGTGGGAAGCTTGTGGAAGGCTACCCGAAACCTTTGACCCAAGTTAAACAATTTAAAGGCAATGCTAACAAATACTAATTGAGTGTATGTAAACTTCTGACCCACTGGGAATGTGATGAAAGAAATAAAAGCTTAAATAAATCATTCTCTCTACTATTATTCTGACATTTCACATTCTTAAAATAAAGTGTTGTTCCTAACTGACCTAAGACAGGAAATTTTTACTAGGATTAAATGTCAGGAATTGTGAAAAACTGAGTTTAAATGTATTTGGCTAAGGTGTATGTAAACTTCTGACTTCAACTGTAGCTAGCTAGCAAGCCCTCCTCCGCGACAATATTATTGGGCCGTGGGAATGTTACATTAATCTTTTAATTGAAGTTCGTGGTTACTACTGGTTTCATATAGCAAGAGAAACTGTCCGCTATGTTTGGTGTTTGGAGTGATGTCATACACTCAAGAAGCCTCAACCAATCACCCGTCAGACATTAATAACTTTCTCTCCTTAAAGGAAATTTCACAATCCTATATGCGATAACCCTATGTCTCCCAAAAATGGATGTCAAGAGAAAATAAATTATCTATGAAATATAAAAAAAAGTGAATTGCGAATAGTTTCCTTATTTTTTAAAGAAATCAATGCCAAACTTAACATGGTTCATCATGGTAATGTCTTTGATGACCCTATAAAGTTAAGTCCATAGGCCAATTGACAGGTAAAATCAGATTTCCTGATTTATCAATAATTCATAAATCTCTTAACCAAAAAATG